CTCGAAATGGATTAGCCTTTATAACGCATCGAACTGCATTGCCCAAGCGCAGCTGTGTTTGCAGATTGACGAAATTTTTGGCAGCATTTAATTGAGACGTGGGAACAAGAACAAGTGCTATTTTATATATATATAAATATACAATATTCTAAAATTATAACAATCGATTTACTTATGTCCATATAAACAATAAGTGAAAGCAATATGTCGAACAGCCCAGACAGGAGACAGTTGCATAGCTGAATTTTTTTAACCCCGGTGAGTTAAAAAAAAATTTAAAATAGTTTAAAAAAAATTAAGAAATCTCTTGACTTTTAAATGAAGAAGCCATCTGCAAGTGCGGGGATACTATCGAGTTTCTCGTGAAGATGATTTTCAAACTTAAAGAGAGTGGGAAAAGAATGCGAGAAGGGCGTGTTAAAAAAGAAAACTACAATAACCTCCTATTGACACTGCAAAGAGCCGTTATGCAATGTGGAAATGAAGGGAAACATATTTAGAGAGCGAAATAGATTGAGCAAATAAACTAGAGGAATTGGTGTGTGCGGAATTTTAACTAAAAGTAATGCAGGAAGTTAGTGGCACTATGCAATGCATTTAGAAGATCGCTGAAATTGTTATATCACCCTCAATAACAACTGTGGTAATACGAGTATATGTATGTACATATGTAGTTATTAGTATATAGGAAAGATCCTATGTTCATATATTATCAAACTGTAATGGTGTATATGCTACTGACATGGTAAGCAAACAAGCAAGAAAGTTTAAATGAAATTAGAACAGAGATAAGCATTAGAAAAGCTTTTTCTAGCAAAGTTTTTGAAAACTCTACCAGAAGAAATAAGTTATACAGAGACAAGCCACTGCTAAATATTTATAAAAATCCTGGTTTGTAATTTATAAGTATGGCAACTCTAGGCGTAGTTCAACAAGCCTCGTTTTGTTTTAATTTCGACTATTTTCTCCAACTCTGGCCCACAGGGAATATCTTAAAAGTTAAAAATAGCGACCAGTTGAGAAAAATATTACATTTGGCAAAAAAAAAAAATTGTTTTCCTTTAAAGTGCTACAATCTTTTAAGCCTGCCCCTAACATTCACAGCTAACTTCTTCAACCTAAACTTCGAATCTAGGCTGCTAAACTCTTACAACCATGTATACATATGTATGTATATGAATATTCTTATGTACCAGGTTTCGCTGATCACCCTGGATGTGAAAAATGCATTCAACTCTGCTAAATGGAAAAATATACTCGAAGCACTATATGGAATACGCGCCCCTCAGTACCTCATAAATATCGTTATGAGTTATTTTAAAAATAGAAAGCTGATCTACGACACCACCGAAGTCATCAAGAGCTACACTATTACAAGCGGAGTACCACAAGTTTCTGTTCTAGGCGCTCTCTTATGGAATCTAGTTTATGATGGGGTGATAAGAATTCCACAGCTTAAAAACGTTAAGCTTATCGCATACGCGGACGACCTTATAGTGGTAGCAGTAGGTAAACACCATGATGACCTACAAAATAAATGTAATGAATGCATAAACGGTTGGTTTTCTTCCAAGAGTTTGGAACTGGCTGAGCACAAAACAGAGGTATTGCTCATAAGCACCAGGAAAATTAAAGACAAAATAACTCTCACTATAGGAGAGTGCGTGATTATTTAACAACTGCAGCTTAAGTACTTATGTGTAATATTGGACTCCAAGCTGAAATTCAAGCAGCACTTGTCAAACATAGCAAATAAAGCAAATAAGACTTATAAAGCCTTATCAAGAATGATGGCAGCTCCAGTATGGATACAGGCACTAAACATAAAAGCATATACCAAAGCAATAAGTGCAGTGCATAGACTCACAGCAATAAGAGTAACAAGTGCTTTCCGAACTATTTCCAGCGAAGCATCTGAAGTACTAGCTAGTATGCCGCCCATAGACATCCAGGCTGACGAGCTCACGAGATTATATGAGCTATAAGCGCTAATTACAGAAATCCAAAAGAGAGAAGAGAGAAATAAGAACATAACTATATGGCAGCAACGGTGGCAAACCTCAACTAAAGGACGGTGCACCCACAGACTTATACCTGACATCCATACGTGGATAAGTAGACGACATGGATTTCCACCTGACCCAAATATTAAGCGGGCATGGGTGCTTCAGAGGCTACCTATGCAAATTTCAAAATGACGTCAGTCCGTATTGTTCGATGTGTGCGGAGTCCATAGAAGACTCTGAACACGTGTTTTTCCATTATTCTCGGTTTCGAAACATAAGGGAAAAGTTAGAAACTGCACTAGGTGGTAGCATAACGGTGGAAAAATTAACTGCATTTACATATGTGCCAGTCCTCTGACAAGTAGATAGCTGCTCGTGAAGCGGCTACTTCCATCATGACTACATTAAGACAGTTACAGCAGAGTAGGCGTCAGTCCGTCTGTGTTATAGAGGAGACGTAATATATTATGTCTTGTCGCTCCCATGAAGTAATACCTTATCTGGTGGTTCCGTGGGAGGTGTTTCTTACTGAATGGCACTGTGCAAAGAAATACTTTAACTGGAACAAAAAATTTCTAATTTCAAAAAATAACAGATTGATCATACCAACTCATATGTAATCGTATCGGGTTGGAATTGTTTATTTATGTTTCCTCAACGAATCATACAAAGCCCCGTCAAGTCAGTTCTCAGACCTCATAGTTAACGGTTAGTATAAATATTTCTAGAGAGTTTATCAACTTAACTCGTATACATACATATATCATATAATATACCACATGTCATAAGCAAATACATATGTATATACATATATGTATAGTATATCTATCAAAGCTCTCACTTAAGCGCTTCTTCAAGAGCGACAACCATCAGCAACAAAAGCCAGCCAAGAATCATGGAATTTAGCTAGTATGCGCAAAATCATGTGGCATGCGACGTCATAGTTTTGCGTGCGAGTTTAACCTTAACAAAGAGTATTCTTGTGTGCGTGCGCCAAAACAAACATTGTGGTTTAAGTGTTTTTCGTTTGAAATTGCACTGGTCAGTGACAGTTATTCTTTGTTGCATGGCAATGAAATGAGCAGAGCAATGCCAGCAAAAAACAGAGAGCAGGAAGTTCAAACAGTTGCAATGAAATCAGGCACTTGAGCTCGTGTTCCCGGCGCGCTTGATTGCCTGAGAGACAGTAGCAATCGTCTGTAGCAGAACGCGCTCGGTGCTTTCTCGAAATGAATATGTGCATATGTATGTATGTATGTATGTGTGTAGAAGGAACTGGTTAACTGTAGTGGCGGATGCTGATTGGAATTTTATACTTCATAATACAATATTGATGGGACGCGACAATTAATTGAAGAGATGCAGCCAATTAAGTGAAGTATGTACTTCCGAGTATGAAAGCGATTCTAAAGCAGAGTGGAAATTTAATATAATTTCTATAAGACCAAAACTTTTTAGGGGATGGGGATTGGTGGTGGTGCTCTTTGTAAAACTACAGATTTTTAAGCAGCTCTAATAGTTATCAATAATTCTTCAAAACTTGGGTTGGAACTGATTTTGATAGTTTTTTAGATACTTATTAAAATTCTCAGCATATTTTTGATGGAATACAAACTCTTGGTTAGAAGTTTCTAACTTGACTTTGAAAGCTTTCATAATTAATTTTTTATAAAAGTATTAAATTTTGGCTATAATTAAGTTTTGATTGAATTACTGCTTAACTCAATTAATGGCCTTTGGTATTTAAAACTTTATAACTATAGGCTTTCTTGATATTTTGCTATTCTTTTATAACAAATCAAAAACCCCCAAACATATACTTCTATATAAATTAAGTGAAAGCTTTTAAGAAAATATTACTAAAAAAAAAACTAATTTAAAAAAATTGTTAAAAAAAATGTATCTCAACTTATGTTATAATTTATATTTATAATTGTGAAGGCATTTTATTTTATCAATAATTGTAATTGCATTCTTAATGAAAGCTTTTACGTTTAGCAATAAAATAAAATAAATTAATGTGAATTTCTAAACAGGACAGAACAGTTTTGCAACCGAAGTATTGATTAAAGCTTTAAACAGAAAATATTTTAAAAATTACATATAATATTTTCAAATAACAATTTTTTTTTTGTAGTTATACTTATTTGTATTCAGCAAACCGTGAGAAATTTGAAATTTTTGCTAAAAGTAAAAACTTTCATATGATAAATTATTTTAAAAATTTGACTTTGAGTAAAAACTTCAAAAAATTCTTGTTTTATTTATTTCAAAATACTTCCTAAAGGTTTATTGTTTTTTGAAAGTTTCGAAGCCTTCACTCGATACTCAAATTTTCAAAAACTCAGATTTTGGTGAGCTAATGAATGAATGCTTTCATACGTTCAATATGCTTTAAAGTTTATCAAATGAATACTTATTCTAATTTTCATATGGTTTTAATCCATCGAGGCAAGGATTTTTCGAGGCCTTACATTTTAAGCTACTTTTGACTAAAAGCTCTGAAATAACAGATTCTGAAACTTTTCGGTTTTAAATTAGTGGAAGCTTCGTAAAGCTTTCCTATATTAAAAATATTTTAAAGCCTTCGAGACCAGTATTTCTAACGATTGTTTTTAATTTAGAATATTTCGAAGCTGTGATATGGTTTCCTTCCAAATTGTCAGCTTTGTAGTGTTCAAGCCATTAGGATTAATAAAGGCTTTAATTTTGTATTTGATAATTATTAGTGTGAAAGCTTTTGCGACGAATACCTGTAGGAAATATTATATTTATAATAAATAAAAACATTTTTTTTTTAATATACTAAGCTTTTTTGTTGTATTATTTGTTTATTAACCAAATTATAGAAACCAAAAGCTTTCACTCTTTTCAATATAAGGGGGAAAAAAATACGATTCTAACCTTAATAAAAATCAAATTAAGCGTAACCAACAAAGAAACATTAGAGTAATAAATTTGAATATGAAAGTGAATTGATGAGTTATTGCTTACCGAACAAAAGGCAGACAAGCCATGAAGTTATAAGTGCTTCACTGCTCAAGCGCTCAATGAGTACCTGCAAAACAATAAAAATCATAAATGAGAGTACAAAAAAAATCGAAGCTGTAATAATAAAAAAGCGCTTGTAGGCAAGAAATAAAAGTTAAGGCAAATAACCAGAAAAAACAAAAGTGTGTAAGCAGCTCGAACAAAATGTGTCGACAAAGAAAGCCAGGAAATAAATGCTTAATGACATGAGAAATGCAAAGAAAAATGAGAAAATGTAACATAAAACCGCAAAGTTGGCGATTGAATGGCGAACTTGAATTTCAACAAGTTCGCGCCTCGAAAATTATGCTCCAGTGTAATTCACTCGATATTTTTTCCGCCATATTCAGCGCGAGTGCAAAGTTTAATTTCGTGTATTTTTTCTTTTCATATTTATTGTTATTTTTTGCTTTTGTTTTTAACTGCAGTTTATCTTAATTTTTTTTGGTTTTAATATGATTTCTTTCGGGTTTGCTTCATAAATCCAACAAGTGCACAGCTGAGTTGAACGAGAAAATAAACTGCACGCTGTGCGGCAGAGTAGACAGTTAGGTACGTAGCGTGCAACACACAATTTTTATACTCTGGCTACATGTTCCTACAAAGTGTAATAGTTTTGTTTAGCTAATGGTTGTATGTATCACCTAAAAATAATGGATGTATGACCAGACAAGTTGAAATCCGGGTGATTGTTCGTCCGCCTGTTCGTACGTAAGAGCAAGCTGTAACTTGAGTAAAAATTCCTTGGCAAAAAAAAAAGAATTACAAGTTCGTAGATGGGCGTAATCGGACACTCAAAAACGCCATTAACCGAACACCCATAAAGTGCCATAACTAAGCACTACATTAAGATATAGAACTGTATTTGGTACAGGTGATCGCAAGGGGAACCTGCGCACAAAAAAATTAAAAAGTTTAATATACATATCTCCTAAAGTAATACGCTTAGCGCAAATATTATAAGAACTTCTACCGACAGTATGACATTAGATTACAACACCGTTCACTCCCCATAAAAAAGTGCTGTTAAAAACTAGTAAAAGCTGGACAAATAAATAACTTAAAATTAAATTTCATCCCTGAAGACATTATGAGAGAGTTTTGAAGGAGCAGGAGTCAAAATTGAACGATGAACGTGGCACCGCCAATATTTCTGTGAAAACCCATATATCAGGACCTACTCGACAGATATTGACCATATTTGGCAAATAATGTTATCTTGACATTTATATGTTACAATGTGAAAATCAGCGAAATAGGGCTGCACCCACGCCCCTTTCTAATATAACAGAATTTTAAATTCCATTTTATCATATCACTTTTGAGTATACTTATGAGCAATTACTTTATATGTCAGGATAAAACTTTACACGCAACGTGCCTTTGAGGTGCACCACCTTATGACTAACAACTGCCCAAATCTCACCAAAACTATTCAAGCCTCTTTGCACTGAATATGTGGACTTTTAGTTAATCAATGTATGGGATATGCTACTAACATTTGGAGAGAAACCTTTCAGTATAGCTGTTTGTTTAAAATTGTTTGAATCGGGTCAATGTTTTCATTAGCCCCATATCCCTAATAAAGATATTATCGAACATTCAGTTGAAAACTCAGCCTAGATCCCATATAACTAACAAGCCTATTGTACCTGAAGTTATTTCTCTGGCTTTAACTGCAAGAGTATGATATATTCGATTACACCCGAATTTAGTCCTTCCTTACTTGTACATTTTTTTTCATATTTTTTGTCGAACTTGTTTTCGAAGCTGTGAAATGATGCAAATGCATAAGACAGAGAAACTTCATTGGATAAAACCGCAACAGTAAAAACATAACAGCAACAATAATAAAAAATCATAAAGCAGCAGTAAAGTTGTGTACTTCCGTGTGGAAGAGACGTGAGGTGGGCATGTTGAGGTTAGAAACACAAACAATAAGAAATTGCCTCAAATTGGTAGAAAGTAGCACGCGGGTGTGTTGATTTGAGGTTTTGTAGCTCACTTCCCATCTGGCTGGTGCTGCCATTCGCGTAATTTGTGGTAGGCCGTTAAGTGGCGACTACGCGCTACAGTGGCAAGTGCAACTACCCACTTACTTCTCGGCATATACAGGGAACCAATAAAGTTTACATACATCTAGTTCTAATAAATTACGACACGTTTTTTTTTTCAAAATATTTTTTTTACACAAATAAAAAAAATTAATGCTAAAGCTTAAAATTCGCCTAATTCATATCAAAAAAGTTTAAGTCATTGGTGTACTTAAACTTTTTTGATATAATTCAAAAGTAATTACAATAGTTTTAGCAGTTTTTGGCCTACATTTTGTTGCTGTTATTGTCCCTAGATGTCGACGCATGCACCCCAATCGATTTCTAGTATTATTTCCGGACTAAGTCAATGATTCAGTTTTTTGCCTTATTTTGATGAAATTCGAAGTTTTCGAACACAGTTTTCCACAAAATTCCAGATATTTTGATTAGGTTTACTGTCAAATGATTGCGGGACCCAGCAAGTACAAGATACAATGTGTATTTTGGGTCGGTATCCTGTTGGAAATTGATTTTGCTGCTATTAACAGCCGATTTAAGCACACCTAAAATTTAAATTATTTTGTTAAAATCATCAGAAACATGTATTAATCCATTTTTGAAATATACTCAAAAAAATAAATTTCCAAACAGTAGAGGACGTGTTGAATAGTGCTGGCTTTCATAGACGAATCGCACGTCGTAAGTCATACATAAGTAAGATTAATAAAAAAAAACAGTTCGGCGTTTGCTAAACAATATTTAGACAATCCGTGTTGGATTTGCGAAAACATTGTGTTCACCGACGAATCAAAATTTAATAAATTTGGTTCGAAAAGATCACGAAAAGTGTGGAGAATTGATTCCTCTCCTTCTCAAAAAAAAAAAAAAAAAAAATATATATATATATTGCTAACGGTACAGCACTGTGGCGGTAATGTTATAGTTTGGAGGACATTTGAACTTTAATAGTAAAAAATATGAACAAACACATTTTAACAAAGTAATTTAAATTTTAAGTATGCTTCAATCAGCTGTTAATTTTATTAAAAGTTATTAATTTTAAAATTAAACATTAATTTTCTTTATTTGTATAAAAAACATATTTAGTTACATATGTTATATTTAATGTTAAATATACATACATATTTTGAAATGAATAGAAAAAAAAACCACAAAATTTAATTATTTTAAAACAAATAAACGTGTCGTAATTTAGTAGAACTAGGTGTATTTAGACTTCATTGGTTCACTGTAAGTATATAGTCAAAATGTTCTTTCAAGCTTTACTCATATGAGGCTAAATATGAATTTTTTTGCAACTAAAAAAAAACTTGTAGCTGTGATTGCAATAAAATGATAATATTGCATATTGTATATACTATATGTACAGTGAAAATTGAGCTTGAAGACTGTTGGAGGCATTTTAACGTATTACAAACATTTATGCTATAGAAATGAAGAAGAGTTACCAAAAATAAACCGATGATTGCACATTGGTGTTGCGAAGAGCAACCTAAAATGAAAGGTCTGCCTTAAGAGGCCGCTTTTGTTTACGGCTGCAGCTTAAATTCTGCCTTATTTCTCAAGATGAGGCTTATAATTTAAAATAAATAATCGGTATATTCAAGTCTGAGACGTTGACTTACTTTTCGGTCAAGTTCTTCTCATTTCAAAACCCATACTTTATAACCTATTTAAACGGGAGTCGTACTGCTACACATATATTCCCTATCTGTTGCTAGTTATTAAGATAAAGGAAATTGACCTTCATGGAACACGTTTCTGATTTGATGTTATTTTGAAAAGTTAGCCGAAGTCCGTTTTATAAACGCCAGTAGATATCTTAAATGTTTTAGGCGGTAACGCTTTGGCTACTGAAGTCATAGTTCCTGAGAATAATGAACAATTTTAGATGGAACTAAATGAAAACTTTCACTTTAAAAACTATTTCATTCCGAAAATTATTCTTGCTTGCGTGGGATTAAACATATTACACTGCTATTTGCATTCTCTCCATGAAATGAATTTATTTAACGTTGCAGTTTAATAAAAGTTAATAATTTAATTAGTTTTTTGTTTTTGGAATTTTAAAATTTTAAAATTTTGAAGCTCTACTCAGACCAAATAAATATCTGATTCCAGAAGTACCAACATTTCTTTTCAGGTAGCCTAAAACTGGATTTTCTTTCGGTTAGTTTTCATTTGATTATAGTAGTAAAAAGTAGAGAGAAGGGTATACATTTTGTTTTTGTCAATCTCTCATTAAGTTACCGGTACATTTTAAGGTACTAAAATAAGTGATATAGATTCAGAAAGGTTTTATCCTTATCATGAGGCAGGCTTTATTGTAAAGTTGTGTAAAGTGCACCAGCCAATAATTTTCAGTTTCTAACACCAACAATTAAATTTTAAGAATTATATCCTATATATTTTTATTTTTCTTTATTACTTAAACATATTTATTGCTTTAAATTTTAAACAAATAAAATCTCCAATTTCCCAATTATTTCTGATTCATGAAATCTTTTTCATCCACAAATTTTTAATAAATCATAAGTAATTTATTCAATCACTTAGAAATGCCATATAGGCTTTAAATTATATTTGCCTTAAATATTTATGCGCTTACTAGCAAATTCAACACTAACGGCTCAATTCCATTAGCGATACCTTGTTGAACAATTACATTTTCACATATTAAATTATTTATATAAAATACATTTTCTTTTAATTTTGTTGTTGTTTATTTTTGCACACAACACAAATTCAACTCATTTTACAAATTCGTTTTTATATGTCTCCACAGGCAAGTACATGGAAAGTAAATAAATAAAAACCGAAATCTCGATCCGCCGCAAAGCTTCATTCTATTTCCTTGCATTTTTTATGAGTTGGAATTCTCAAAGCGAAAGGTCGCTGGCAAAGCACGAGTTTTTCAGGCTTTCGCCCATTTCAATTGTCATACAATTTTGGCGAGCGACAAAAAATATTG